AAAGGTGAAGATAAAAAAAACTATTTCTTTAATTTTGAAAAAAATTACTATAAAAAGAAATTTTTGAGAAAAATGTTATGTACGGGAAAGAGTTAAAAAAAATATAAAGTTCAAGAAATATTAAAATTTAAATGAATCAAACTTTTATAGAATTTTATTAATTAATTTAAAAAATGTTTTTATATAATATAATTTTTATAATTTTTTTTTAAATATTTTATAAATAATCAACAATTTTCTTAAAATTTTATATTAAAATTCAATTTTCAAATTATATTTAATTATGCATCAATCTAATTTAATTATTGCAAAGTTTTTATTATCAACTATAAGATATAAAATATATTTACTAATTTTATTTAAATTATTAAAAAAACAATACTTTATATAATAATATAATTATTTATAATAACTTTTAATATAGTTGATATTAGATTTAATATAATAAGTTTTTAAAAAATAAATATTATTTGATAATCATGATAATAGATAAAGAGTAATAGCCATTGGCTTTTAAGAAAAAGATAATAAAAATAAGATATAATTTTTATATATTAGAAAAGTATATAAAAAATATAATATGCTATATATTTGCAAGCTACAGTATTAAAATAAAATTTAATAAATTTTTTCAAAACAAAGAATTGTATCTATTTGTTAACTGAGAAGTTTTTAAAATCAATAATAAACAATGTAGTAAAATTTACAATAATAAATATGTGAATACTAAATATAATGAAATATTTTTTTTTCATTAAAGTTTTTTTCTTATTGTGTAGCTATTTTAGTTTCATGAAATCAAATAAATTTTTTGTTTTTTAATTTTAAATGTAATTGCTATAATTATAAATTTCCATTAATATATCTATATAGTAACTTCCAAAAATATTGCATCACAGAATTATTTTTATATTAAAACAGTAAAAATTGAAATTTGTATTATAATAAATTCTTTTTTTTTATATACAAATAAAATTTTTATTTTTCACTTATTAAGTTTATCAGTTATAATTTACTATTGATTTTTTTTAGATTTTTTGTTTCTTTTTAAAAAGTGTTCTGATTGAAAAAAAACAAAAACCAAAAAATTTATATATTTAACACTTATAAAAATTTTTAATTTTTTTTCTCAATCAGGATACTTTTTAAAGGAAAGATTCAAAAAATCTGAAAAAAAAATTTTATAGTGAAACTATAACTGTTGAACTTAATAAATGAAAAATAAAAAGGTTTATTTGTTAGTAAAAAAAATAGACTTTATTATAGCATACAAATTTCAATTTTTAGTTTTAATATAAAAATTGATCTGAAATGCAATACTTTTGGAAGCCACTGTATATGCTCGTTATTGTATATCAGAAGATTCAAGCATTTTATTTACAGTACGAAATTATGTAATTTTCTAAAAAAAAAAAGTTTACATTTTGAAACAACACTGATAGGCTTTATTCACGCTTTTACGGTATGCAATAGCTTAAATAATTACAGAACATCACTTTAAAATTGACAAAATAGAGTCTTATTGATACCGCAATAGTTTATAGTTTATTATATCCTGAAGTTATGATTGGCTTAATGCACAAAGTACAAAGTTACACGTCTTATAATGACAATATTTAAAGATAATCCTACATAAAAGGTTTAAATCGTGTTTGCTATTGGCATAAACTTTAACAGACTACATAATGTATCTCTTAAGGTATAAAATGATTATCTTAATTCGCATGCTCACAAATAAACTTCATCGCAATGACAGATCCCCCAAATTCTAGTACTGATTTACAAAGTTTTGGTAAGAAATTGATTAATCCTTTTTTTTTTCTAATGGTCTCAACATTATGAAACATAAACAAATAAGAAATATTGTGAGTAAACATTTATAAGATTTATCGCAGTGCTTGGCCCAGAAATATTTTTTTAAAAGTAATTCACATGTTTTTAAATGCCTAATGCACAATTTTGATGATGTATACACGCATAAAAGTTACCAATACACTACATTTTTAAATTAAATTGACCAACATGCTTTTCTAATTATATATTATCCAAGAAACTGATGATTTGTCTGATTACATTCCGGACTTTTATCGACTGCTCGACTTACGTAAGAATTATGGATCAAATGGATTAGGTATGTTTTTGATTACCCATATTATTTAACCAAGTAAATAAAATTGTTAAGCACCTATAATGATGTATCGCGCTATATTCTTCCAGATGATAAAATTAATATTTCGAAAGAATCACTAAAGAAATTTTGCAATAAAATGGTTCCATCAAGTTGTAAATCAATCTCAGAAATTAACTATGCGAGCCTGAATTCAGTTTCAGTTAACCTAATCGGTTGTTATGGAAATTACGCCATAATAGCGAAGCTATTATATAATCAACAGATTATTGATGAAAAAATGCAAGTGATTTTACACATCTAAATATTTTTACTGTACTAAAGACAACGAATTTGACTACTTATGATATTTTTTACTTTAGATATAATCTGCTTGTAAATTCGCAATCACCGGGATCATCAACAGAAAATGAAAATAGACCTTTCTTGCGTTCTGGGATTTATCTGCTTATATGTTCAAAAAACTTAGCTTTAGTTATTAATTGGCCTGAATCTGGATGTTATGAAGAAAATAATTCGTCTCGTAAAAAGCAAAACATGATAAATTTACATAGGTTAATTGACTTTGTATTTACTATTTTATATTTATGAGCAAAGATAATTATTTTATATATCGCACATACACAGATATCTTACCAAACTTACGGACCATCAACTCTGTTTAATGAGGGAGTCTGACTTGGAACGCTTTGATTGGAATTTGAAGTGTTATGAAAAAAATGATATTGAAGAAGAAACGGAAGGAGTCTGCTATGATTTCGAGGTTAAAAAGAGTCAAGAACAAGAGGACTTTGAAATCTTGCCAGGATTTCAGGTTGGAAAATTACGTATTCAGAATATTGTTACCTATAGATTTGATTTAAACATAGGACAATTAAATAAAATTTTTGTACATAAGACATTAATTAGATTTTTCTTAAAAAAATATAGGTTCGTTTGCCACAACAAATTATTTCAGATATTCAAAATGGATATCCTCTGCAACCTATTGGTAAGAAATAATGACTTGCATAATCCTTCTTGACTTACATATCAATCTAATCAAGGTATTTATAGTGGTCGAATCTGTAACTAGTCCAACATTAATTACTCAAAATAAAATCACTGTCGCATCGGAAAAGATTCAAAATACTCTTAATACTGAAAAATTGAAGTTCAAAGAGGATTTTGGTAAAATTCTTGATGGATATGCATTACGTATCGACAAAAATTTGAGTATAGAAAATTTAGAGACACTGATTAAAAACGGATTGCCTGAAATGGAAGAAGAGCTGCTTGGTCCTTACCGTAAGGCATTAGAATGTAAGAAGGCACAAGATAAATCTTATAGGAAACAGGTTATAGAGGAAGGATTTAGCAGGATTTGCAAAAGAATAGAAAACAAGTTTAATAACGGGTAAAAATTATTTAAGTTAATTGTTAATATGAGTTCACAATACTTATGTACTACACTGTAGTAACTTCTTTATTTTATATAATTAGACCTATTTTGAGGATAATAGATTTACGCGGTAAAACTTATTACACACACAGATACATTTCACTAAATAGTATATGTTATCTAAGACAGCTATTGCATTTTTTCTTTAGAGGGCGATTATTATTTTCTGAGTGGACGTGTAAAATATTCTATCTCATATGAAATCGAGATCATTTATCCTGATCAACTCAAAATTACAATCTATCAAACATCAATTGATGAGATGGATAAATTTTTACTTCCTGAAATAGAATATTATATACCCACACCGGAATTCAATCAATATCAACAAACAATTGGATATTCTTTTCAAATAAACTTAGAAACCCACGAAATTAGGTAAGTTATATGAAAAACTTGACCTGTTTTATTCAAGTTTCATAATTTGCTAAATACATTTTCTCTACAAACAGAAATTTTTCGCAATTTGGAAATAAGTTTTTTCTTGCGCTGTGGAATAACAAGGAGAATCGACTGGAGATCTATTTTGACACCGCATCGGGATTATCGTTATCTTTTCAATGTGATTCACCAAAATTTTTCAGAACATTATATCCAGAGAAAAACACCCTTATTGCCGTAAATGAGTCAAGAGGATTAATTGGATTTTATTGTATTGATTCTGGATCTGTAAGTTATATTTGATTATATAATTAGCATTCTAGATTCGTATAATTTTTTACTTACAAAATAACTAATTACCAATCCTAATTACTTATAGCTAAACATTTATAAATTTGATAAAAATTCTGTTACACTTCTTCCACGGGATACGAATATTCAGTTAGTTCAGTGGTATAATTATATGGTACCGGAAATTCAACATTTTTTCTTTATTAAAGATACAGAAGATATATGTTTCATTGAGAAGAATGGTCGCTCCAGAATTTATATAATAGTATCAAACCAATTTCGACCCGGTTCATTGCAATTACCATCAAATTTCTTTAAAGTTCTAAGTACACCTGATGGAGCTTGTATCATTGCTTTTACCAAAGATACCGTATATGAACAGGACGAAGAAAGAAATGATCTCAATGATGCAGATAGCAGCATTGAAGAATCAGACCTATTCATTGGTCCGAATGACCATAATCCTGAAGATCAGACAGAAATGGTTCGAATGCACGTATTCTTTTGTGCCAAATTTGGTAGTACAGCAAGTAAAAGTAAATACTGTAATGTTATTTAGTTATATACTGTATATATTCTTGATTTACTAATATTATTTACACATAGTAATACCTATGCCAAAAAATATACAATCTTCTGAGCATTTTCAATTTTCCTTTATTGAGAAACTACAAATGCATCTTACCTATCTTGACTTGGAAAATGGTCTATTTTGTTCACAGATTATAACAGTCACGCCTGAAGAGACACAATATAGGCTCCAACAAAGGTCTTACAAAATATTGGCAAAAAGAAATACTAACAGTTTTGTCAATGTGTATCGATATATGTTTGAAAAATATTCAGTTGACCATTACATAGAACCAAATGAAAACAGGTCCCTGAACTTATCAATAATCTTAGAGATGTCTGATTATAATATTGAAGATTATAAAAAAAGATTCAAATATTATATCAATGACATGTTAAAAGGACTAGAAAAATCTACGAAGAAACCTACAGGCAGCTTAAAAAATTTTGGAATTGGTAATTTGTAGTCTTCTCTACTTCGAATACTGCGTATAATGAAATAATTTTACTAATAAGATTTTTATTTAATTAGACGTAATGAACTTTTCTGAAATAGATATTAATGATCCAGAGTTTCAAAAAAATAAAACATTAAAATCTTATCTCGGAGAATGGCTAATTAAACTTTCTTGCTTAATTCCAATTCAAATTGCGGTTACCAGAAACAATGTGTTCCAGCCATTACAAGATGGGTTAACATCAAATGGCAATAATTTAGATGGTATTGAAAGTAACGACCTTCACCTAAATAATATTGCGCAAAATATCTCTTTCGGGTGGTATGAAGGAATCTTTAAACATTTTGGGGACCGCCAAGTTAAGGTGATTTCTGTCATGGGGGAACAATATTGCGGAAAATCATATATGGTATGATATGCTGCGATAATATATACTGGAATTCAAAAATTCTTTCTTACTTTTGCAAAATTTTATAAAGTTAAATCACCTGCTAGGAACTGCGTTCGATGGATCTACGATAGTAAATATGTTTTTATACAGTGTCTACCTAGTTTAATTATCAGCTAATTTTTTTTTTTTGAGTTAGCATAAGACGGAGGGCGTCTGGATGTCATTAGGTGAGCCTTGGTTATACATGGTATAAATATTTACTGTATGGGAAATGATTATTTACGCGATAAATGTTATTACTATAGCTGTTACGGCACAGTGTACATATGTAGCTTTCTATTTTGAAAGCTCAAAGGTCTATGAGGGTAAATAATTTAATGGAAAAAAATAGATTTTATGATAGTGTTTAGTAACTTGACATTAATTTTAGATTTATTTTTAATACAATTTATTACTTTGGTGTCAAACATCGTCCTTTTTAAGGTAAGACTTACAATTTATTTATTTTTTTTGATATTTTAATATCTAATTTGCATGACTTTTTTTTTAAAAAAAAAAGAATCGCATTGTGATTGATCGGAATATGTCAACAATGCTTCAAAGATTTCAGGAGCAGGCTATTATCTTAAAAGATCCTAAGCTGTTTAAGGTAACAATTTATTATAATTCATTAACGAAATAATTATTAATATTCTTACCAAAGTTCAATTATTTATATAGGCAAAACTGTGTATCATGATGGAAGACATTCCAAAACAATATATACGAGGAATGGTTCAAGAATTTTTCATGAAAATTAATTCCATAGTCGCTGAGGTGTTTATATTATTTACTGCAAAAGATATCGGAAAATTTTTATTAATAAATTTCTGGAAAACTTAAGGAAGGGGAAGATAACTTTATAACACGAATGTATCCAGGTGGTCTTAAAATAATTCCTTATCCAATTTTTCATGAAAAAGGAATGTACTAAATTTAATATAGGATATCCATTTACTTCATTGGATTTCTAATACGAACATTTTATTCCATTTTATAGGGTTAGCATCATCAAAAAATCTTCATATTTGCAATGCTGTTTTTGTCGACACATTACTTATATATTTATTATTACTTTTATTTTATGTGGAATGAAATCATGGTTTGTATGTATTTTCACACTTATACTAACAGATATTATGCCTTTGTAAAAACATACGCTCAAACCAGTACGTAATTTAATATTGAACAGGTTTATAAGTTTAAAAGAACTTAAAAAGATGTTGGACAAAGAAGAAACAATATATACAAATACAAGAACATTTTTACAAAACACAAAGATCATTATGGCAAAAGTTGAGGTAAGTAGAATTGTTTAGATGTTATATACGTAAACATCGTACTTTAATGAATTCCTTTTAATTTTAACATGATTTATTAGACAAGAGATTGGAGTTCTTTGGATAATAATTTTTTTCAAACTCGCGTGTCTACATTAAAGAGATTGCTCAAAACTGCCATACACATTGGTGTAGAAGAAAATAATCCGAAAATTGTGGCCTTAAAGGTAGTTGTTCTGTTTTGTTAACGTAATAATTTATGAATATGTATTTAAATATATACTATGAATATAGAATCATGATACTGGAATAATAATTGATGAACCTGCCGTAGTACTGTCTGAAATATTTGAGGAACTTGATAATCCTACGGAACTCTTTTCGGATGAAAATATATTACTTTTCGAAGAAAATACCAACTTTGTACGTTTATCTGATGGTTTGAGAATTTACTTTGAAATAAACATACAACAAAGGAAAGATTGCTCCAATGATACTAAATGGCTCAAAAGATTAGATCGATATTTCAAATATATAGTTTATCGACGGACATCAAGGGTTAAAGAATGGTTAGAACAAAACACCTCTATGTTTCCGCAAGGTCATAGTGATATTCAAATATTGCATAATATCATGGAACAAGAAATAAGCAAAGTCGAAGTTCTTTGGACATTATGTGGAATGAATTGTTCTTATTGTCGATTCCGGTGTATAAAAAATCGCGATCATGAAAATAATCACAGCTGCTTAACGGATCATAAATGTCATTATCCGTGTCAATTCCTGGAAGAACATACGAATAAAGGGCTCATTCCTCAGTGTAAACATAAAGCCGGTCATGATGGAAAGCATATGTGTAAAGATGCTGGTGGTCATGTATGCGGAAAGCCTTGCAGATTAGAGAATAAGTGTAACTGCCAAAAAGTTTGCGCAAAAGAAATAGGTCACGAGGATAACGAACATATGTGCCAGTTAAAACGTACGTAAATTAAATAAATCATCTGTGATGTTAACTATTTATCTTACTAAGTTACTGTGTTGCACGCGTCCTGTGCATTTCAGGTCATTATTGTGGTAAACCTTGTTCTTTATCAACAAGCACAAAAAAAGGAAATTATCAATGCCCAAACAAATGCATTGTTTCCTGTGAGGAAAGGCATGATGTTCACCGTAAGGATGTTACTGTACCATCACTAAATTATTTAATGTAATACATATACTGTATATGTTAAATATACATTGCTACTGTATATTGACAGGTTGTGAAAATGAAACATGCCCTGTTCAATGTCCTATATCAGGGTAAGAAATACACTTAACTCAACCAGACATACTTTACAACTTGCATAACAATTAGATTTTAAAAATAAAATCATTTTACTTAAGATGTCAAAGAAGATGTCAAAGCGATGATCATTTTCATGCACACTCAGAAACTCGTGTTATAAATCATTTTTGTGGGTCAGTATTATACTTGATTATTACACAATAAACACAGCATTTATTATTGCATACCTAGTCATAACTTTCATAACATCTAATAAATTACAGACAGGAGCATCAGTGCCCGGAACTTTGCGAGAAGCCCGGGATATGTAAAATTTTGACCGAGCCTCAAAGACAAGAGACGGAACAAGGAGTGATTAGAAAAATAATGGTAAATATACCAAGAAAAAAGTAAATTGTCCTAATATGTTCGATTCAAGTGTTTTAATAATTATAATATAATTTATCCATTAGTATACTCAACTAAGCGAAAGAATGATGTGTTGCAAAAAAATTCCTCCTAATGAGTTTAGGCATAAGGGAATGCATTCACATTCCCATGATAACGATGATTTTCATTACTGTGATGCTAAGTGCCAATTTTGTGAATATTATGTAAGTCTTAAGTAATCCGCATAATATATCAGTCTTAATTAATAATACCTAAAATCCTTTTTCTTTTAATAGTGTACTTTACCTTATGGGCACGAGCAACCATTGCACGAAACTAATCATGGAATTATGATTAAAACAAAATTTATAAGTGAATATAACTTTGTGCATGAAGGGTACAAAATACTCTATTTTAAATATTTTATGATATTAACAATAACATTAATATTTACTTCTCATAATTAAAGTCGTAGACTGCAAATGAAGAATGGTAATACATTATTTCTTTGCAATTTGGTATGTAGAAGCTCAATATTTCCCTTTAAATTTGTTTTCGATAAAAAAAATTTACTTTAAATGAACTTGGCGTTGGGCTATAACAGTATTGTAAGGGAAAGGGAGGCCATCGGCATATTGATTATTGCAAACTTGTGGATACATGTGAGCAAATAAAAAATCACTCAGACATCAAACATATTAACGGTATTTTGTTATTAAATTTCTCTAATTTGGTAATGTAAACCTTTATATTTGTAACAATTATTGTTACTTCTTTAGAGAAAGTTAAACCAAATTCCCATATTGCCAAAGACCTTATTTCGCATCGTCTATTCTGGGAACGCACGGGTTTTAAAGGTCATTGGCTATTATTTGGCTGTGTCGATTAAATAAAAAAAATTTTTTTTATATTTTCTTATAATATAATTATATTTTAGACCCTTATTCAGTTCAAGAGAAAAAAGAGTTTGCTAAGTGTGGTCACGAATGTTCTGTCGAGGATGATTACACAATCTGCTAAGTCGTATTGCGAATTATCTCTTTTTATCTAAAGATAAATTCATCACCAACCCTGCCACCTCATAATGGCATTGGTTATGTTTCTTTTAGTCACTACCTCACTGTGGGAATTGTGCCGGAGATTCGAGTCTCGACAATAATGTGGAAAGAAACTAATAGTTCTCTCTAAATAGGTTATTGTCCTGAATTTTTTTGAAAAACTATTTCATCAAAATTTTTATCATGAAAATATTGAATTAGATAAACCTGTATCTAAAAAATCGGTTGCTTTATCCGTTCATTGAACAAGTTTCTTATATTCTATATAGTTTTGATGATAATTAAAATATTATTTAATTAGACAAAAATTTCTTATATGTTGCAGATATTAAACGTTTTATATTGTGAATAAAATCAATTCTTTATTTATATTGTATCAGGAAAAAACAAAGTCATGAAAATGCAGAGTAATATTTGGAATATTTGTAACATCTAAGTAAATATAAAAATAAATTTAAGCATTTTTTTTAAAATAAACAATATACAATAAGATACCAAGTCTTCTGGCTTTATGCAACATCAATATTATCTCTAAGGCCCGTAAATACCAAATAAATATTATTAAAATAATATATTTAATAATGATATTATGTAAGTAATCTATTCTGACAACCTTCTTAAATATTTTAATTTCTCTCTAATAACCTATGCTTGTTATAATTTATAAGTGCAAACGCTTTTTTCATAGGCTATTAGCAAAATTTATACCCTTTTTCCAGTTTTAATTATGCACAATAGAGAAACAAAAAATCGTTCTTAAAAAATAAATATTTTCAAAATAAATTGTTTTTCTCTTCTTCGTCTGTTTCTCCCTTTAAATAATTCTACAGTGCTGCTTATTTTATATTTATTTTAAAACATACAATTATTTATAATATCAAAGTTTTATTTCTTAATCCAAGTTTCATTAATACATATGATTAATAATGTCATTTAATAATGTGCTTTAAACAATATTATTAAAGTCATATATCAAAAATATTCTTTGGTTATTTGTTTTATTATTTTTAGAATAATTGTGAATTTGTTTTTACCCTGTAATTTAAAAAATAAATAAATTAACAATAAAAAATTTATAATTACTAGTTTCATTAAACTCAAGTATAAATTAAACACATCATATTCATTTATTAAAGAAATTTATTTTTGTAATTATCAATAGCCCTTATTAATAATACTTATATAGGAATATGTCAAGATAATGTAAAAGTTTTTCATATAAAAAAATTATGTTTGCACCAGTTCAAACAATAAGTCGAACTTAATCACAAGCAAAACATTAAAGCAATTGTAAATATAAATAATTAATATTGCAAACAAGAAAATATAAAGTATTATACTTATGTATCTCTATCAGTTACCATGATAATATGATAATATCTCTACAAATAGCATAATGAAGAAATAATACAAGTATAGAAAATTATACATACCATACAATAAATAAATATGCTATTCAATATATCGAAATTAGATAGTATAAAATCTAATCTTGGCACAACTGGTCAATTTTAAAACCTTGAGCAGTAATAAAGATATATATATATATATTATATATAATGTTTAATCTTATTATTTTATATTTAGCTATATATAATTTATTTTATATAATTATTAAAAAAATATATAGAGAAGTAAGAAAATATCAAATTAACAAAGCAAACATGTTAGAAGTAAAAAAAACCTTGTCAAATCAAACACTTCAAATTATTTATTTATTGTTTTTATTTATTATTAATATCAAATAAATTATTATTGGTATTATTAATAGGTTTGCTATTTGTTTGTATAATGGAAAACTTAATTAAAAGCTTTATTAAAATAAAAATAAAGTTTTTAGTTTTTAAATATATTTTTTTCAATACAAAAAATACAGTATTATAATATTATTATAAAGATTGTTAAATGTCTTTATAGGAAATAACATTAAATATTATATTATAACAATATAAAGTACTTGACCTGTAGATCAATAGCATAGTGAATAGAACATTTAGGTCTCAAAACACATGTTCATAGTTCAATATTTACAGGTGGCAAAAAATATATTATTCTTTATATGTGAATTACTACATACTTTATATATATTGTACTTAATAATTTATTTATTTATTTATTTTATTATTTTTTTTAAAGGCTAAGTTACAATATATACATAAATTTTATTTTCAAATCAATTAAGACCACAATTATCTACATACGAACAGTCTATTAACTATTGCTAATATTAACTTATACTATTTACACTTTTTATCAAAATATCAACTTACACTAAGTAAGTGGATCTATATCCTGACTTATGCTTATAATTCTCTACTTGTAAATATAAGATAAGAAAAATCCTGTCCAACAGTTAAAAAACCTTCCTAGCAGTCTTCTTTTTGGCTTATAACCTAAACTTTAAAAAATTTATGATAACAATATAATAAATTTTACAATAATAAATATATGAATACTAAATATAATGAAAAACTTCTTTTTTAAAAACACTTTCCTAATCACGTTCATTTTGTTAAAAATTTTTCTTTTATGGTAATTTTAAGCAAGAAAAAATGGTTTACACTCTTTATCGCAAGTGAGTCCTAGCTCAGGAACTCAAGAACCTTTAAGATAATTGGTGCAGTGGGATAGAACCTTTGATCAAAGTCTTTTCAAGTTT